ATTGTACCTCTACAAGTATGATTCATTTCTGCTGGAGATCTAAATTTAAAGTTAAATGAGTGTTATTGGATTCATTTTTAACGCAAAAAAAATACTATAATGTAGTTTTAATGTAGTAGCAAAGCCTCATAAAAAATGTGATTTATCAAGTTAGCAATTTAACTAGTGTTATTTATAATTAATAACTATACATAATTACAAATTACAACTTTTATGCTTATTCATTATTGCCTTTAAAGTAATTTTAAAAATATATATATAATTAGTATATAAAAACAATTGTATAATAAATGCAAATTTCTACCCATCTGATTTGTGTAAAAAATGGATTTTTAAGTAAATATATAATAATATCTAATTAAATTGATTCCACGAACATTCAAAATATAATAAACCAGTTTTATATATGATAACTTGACAAATAACTTGAAATTGCTTTTTATAAAGTTGTAAAAACTTTAGATAAACTTTATAAATTTAAAGAATAACTTTTTACCAAGTCTTTAAAATATTGTATTTGTAGAAATATTTTGATTTTAACTTAATACTAAATCATTTTAGTTACCTGTAATAGGACAATAACCCATTTGCGAGAACAAACCATCTTTTTTGATAGCCCTTTATATAATTTGTCCATTTCCATAAATAACCACGAAACTGATCTGGACAAACTCTTCCGTCAGGCATTCTTTTATTTATATCAAATATTGATGTTTTAATGGAATCATTACAATTCTAGATCGACGTGTATTTGTTAATTCGTACCTATATTTGAATACATTACATAGTATAATGAACTTTCACCTTGTATATTTATTTTGAAATTTTGTCAAGAAACCGTATAAAGAAACCGTGAAAGCCCCAGATTCATCTAAAAAAAATGTTTATGCGTTTACGGTTAATTATCCAAGTAAATATTTCTTTTTTAAAATAACAAGAAAATTTATCATTTACAAAGCAGAAAAAAATATAAATGCAGAAATGTAGAACTAGCTCATCACTTTAATCTAAAGTTGTTGTTGTTTTAAAGGTCAGATTTTTTTTTTTTTTTTTTTTTAAACGTTATATAAAATTTTCTCTAAAATTTTAGAAAAAAAAAGACAAAATAACGATTTGGCGATAATTTGTAACATTGGTTGCAACACGTTCGTTAAAAATTGGTCTGATTTTGGCTATTAAACAGAAAAATTATCAATGGGGTCTATAAAATTGCCGACAAATGGATCTATAAAAATTGCAGACTTCTAAAAACATTCACATCTAAGTTGTAAACCAAAAACCAAAATGAGTTTTATAAGCTGCGAAATATATATTTTTTTAATTTCCCAATTACATACTTATGGAAATTATTAAAGGAACTGTCGGGGTTTTTTATGGTAGTTATACAAGACTACATGAAATCTAATAACAATATTCTGCTCACGTATTCAAATATTGTAATTTATTTTGACTTGAAGCAAAATTTATGGCCAAGCAAAAAACCTTTGTTGGCTATCTTTATTAGCTAGCGCTTTATTGGCTTGTACACCTTCATCTACAAAGTTCGCTTTGATCTAAACCTGTTTCCTAATTAGAATGATATAAGCTCAATCTTTTTGACTAAACTAATGAGTTTTTGCTTGTGCCTCCTAGGTGGTGGCTATGCAACTCTTTCTGTTATCTCCTGATAATATTATAGCTCTAAATCTTACCCTACGGGCATTTGTTTTTAAAAATTAAGTTCTAAATGTCTTTTAAACGTATTTTAAACGTCTTTTAAACGTTCTTTACCTTTGAATGTTTAGAAGACGTCGAAAAGACGTTTAAAAGACATTTAGAACGTAAAAAACAAATGTCTTTTGGGACGAAATTTTTAAAAACAAATGTCTTTTGGGACGACCCCATTCTATCAACTGGCCTCAGAACCATTAAACTATAGTTTAATGGTTCTGAGACCAGTTGATAGAATGGGGTCGTCCATAAAGTACGTAGGCCAAAAATTTAGAAATTTGATAAATATTTATTATTATAAAGTTAAATTACTTGTTAATTATATGTTCGTTTGGCCGAGAAGTTAAAGCAGCGTGGATCGTATCACAGTCAAGCCTTAACGTACTTTTTTTTTTAAAAAGTCGTCAACAGCTGTAGAATCTTAAGGCGTTAACAGTGTCATATTGTGCATGATAGATTTCCATCGCTCATATATTTTACATAGCTTATTGGTTGTGTGTCAAGGGTTATTGATGATTGAATCAAGTTCTTCAATAACTTCTCATTGGAAAATAAGCGACTAGCTAGCTTTAAAGCAATTTTTGAGCAATACTTTACATCTTGCATCATTGTTTCTTTTTACTTTTACGCTTTAAAAAATTATATTTTTAGTATTCGATTGAATATGTTTATGTCACTATCTAGATATTGTAACTTTATAACTATTGATATTACTACAATATATGTAGCTAGCCGATAGCTACAAACAAACCTGTAGCTAGCCGATAGCTACATATTTCATATTTTTAGCTAGCGATATTTCTACAAAATTCTGATAGCTATATACGTACGTAGTTTTGTTACTAAATACTATTCTATAGTTATTAGGTGTTATAGCTACCTATAACTATTGTGATATGTATGCACGTATATACATATCGCAAATTTATAAGGCATATACGTAAACGATGGTTTGTTGCTACCTAGTTTTCTATTTCCGTTTAAAATAAATGCTGAACTTTGTAATGAGAAATTAACTATTTTAGGGGACGCCAGTTGACCGGCTTAGAAAGCGTGGGAAGACCTTCCCTACCCCCTCCTCCTTCCTCCACCCCAATATTTGCAATATTTCTTTTAGCCATTTTTAGTTTATTATTGTTATTATAAATTTTAGTTCATCAATTTTATTTCACAAATACTTCTTCGTGTATAATAAAAGTTCTTTTTGTCTGTCGTTTGTTTTTTACTGTTGGTTATAAAGAAAGCAAAACAGGTTAGTTAAAATTTTACGTACTAACGTAAGCATATTCATATCTAAACAAACATAAGTACAAAGATACAAATAAACTTTTATGTACATGTACACATAAACACATATACAGAGAGCGGGTATTAAAAGTATAAATGTATTCTATCAATATACAAAATGATTTCCTTAAGTTTTCTCTTAAATGAGTTGTCATTTTTATTTAGTCATTTTTGTGAAAAGTCAAAATACTTCAAAACTATTTTATTCCATAGAAAGGCTCCTGGAAATGAAATACAAGATTTACGACATCTATTTTATTTGTTGAATAAAATAGATGTTGAATAAAATAGATGTTGAATAAAATAGATGTTGTAGATGTTACATTTTTCTTTTAATGAGCATAAGTTATAAAGGGGAGAGGGGAATAGTTTAGGGCTAAACATTTTCTTTTTTTTCTGTTTAACACAGTATAAATATTATTTTACATTATATTATAAAAGAAAATACAAAAGTATATACTTAAATTACAACAAAATAAAGTTAAACAGATAGGGAAGTAGATAAAGCTTTAAACAAATTCAATTTACAATAAGTTTGATTGTTTATGTTAAAAAACAAAAATAGGATTGACTCGAAAGATTTTTCAGTCTTATTTTAGTAAAAGTAACTATAAATACTTAACAAAATTTTCAGAAAAAACTTTGTTGTTCAAAGATATAGATTAAAATTTTCTATTAAATGGACCTTACCTGAGGAAAAAATTTCCAGATATTGTCAAAAAGAAACAAGACTACGTCAGAGTGTGTTTAAGATTGAATCAAAACGATTAATATTTTGCATGAATGCCAATGCAAAAAAAGATACATTTATTGTGGAATTTCAATATAGTCCTACAATTCCAAGAAAACATTGTTGTAGCGAATTTGCCGTGGACCTATATATACATTTTAAGCAATTTATTGGAGTTTCGCTTATCGGTGTTCTAGTGAACCATTATTGATAGTCGCTTTAAATGGCTACCCGATAACTTTCAAACATTTGATATAGTGGCTGTTCATTGGCTACTTTTGGTGAAGTTACTAGTAGTTCACTAAGTACGATGAGCAAAACTACAGCGGTCGGCTCAAAATGCCTTTCTAGGTTCACTAAAACTCTGCAATAGAATGTTGTTTGGGTTATATCTCCATGGCATGAAACTATCTTATAAATTAAAAATTCAGGTGACATTTATCTATCTATTTTATGTTTAATGGTGATTTACCTTAAAAATCCAACTTTTGTGCAAAGATAAAAGCTTATTTCTTTCGTTTTTTTTTTTTTTTACCCAGTTAAACAGAAAATCAAACAAAAATATAGTTTTTATAAAACTAATATTGATTGGAACAAAGTCGAATCGGCATTTAAAAATATTCCAATACCACGATAACTATAGCCTTTAAATAAAAAGTTTTGTTTTTGTTGCTGAAAATACCGTAGATGGGGGTAACTAAAGCCTACGGGGAAACTAAAGCCATTATAGCAGGTAATTTTTGGATGGTGATAGTGGCAGCACTGTTTGGATTCAACAGCTGATGTTGTGTTCTTCTAATAGGAACTTGGACTGCTTTCCAAATACTTGTCTGGATTATTAAAACAATATCATGGTAAGTGTACAGTAAAACTATATATTTAACCTAAAAAATCGATAAAAAAGTTACCTTGTATAACTTCTGCTCTGAACAAATCATTTTTAATCTTAAATTCTCATAACTCTCAACAAACATAACCTCAATTTATGTTCATCACACCTTTAAAGGTTATAACCTATAACTTGATTCTTTCTTTTGTTGTGATGTTTTTTTTTTCAGTGATACACAACATGGGGTAACTAAAGCCACATCATAAAGATGGCTTTTGTTACCCTATACTTTATAATAAGTCAAAATTCCTTAAGTAATAAATTTTTTCTCTTTTATAGGACTAAAAATGCCTCGAAACCCAAAGAAGAAGCTTGGTAGCCGGAAGTATAAGGATTACACAGATGAAACGGAGATAACAGTAGATCTTAAACTAGAAGAAACAACTTATGACGAACCCCCCAAAATAGGAGTCTCTAAAGGAGAACTTAAACCTGATATTTACGTCATTGTTGAGCTCATCTTTGATAAGAACACAAAAAAAGAAACCACCAAACAGTTCTATGGAGTCATTCTTAGAACTTGTTTTGAGAAGAACGAAGTTACCGTAAAGTTTTTCAGAAGAAGCTCCAAATCAAAAGGAAATGACTATATATTTCCAAATGTTGATGACGATATGAACATTTAGTTAACAGACGTCATTTCAATTGTGAAACCATCCAAAGTAAACAAAGGATGTTATACTTTTCCTTATGAACTACCGGTAAAGCACTGAGTTCAACAAGACCTATTTTAAATAAAATTTTTGTCTCTTTTTAATGTTTTTCTTAAATAATAAAGCTTTTTTCTTGTCATTAGTGGTTCTTTATTGTTACAGATGCATGATTTATGGATTTAGTTACCCTAGCACTCTCTAACTAAAGCCAAACATTTCTTTTTAATGGATGGCTTTTGTTACCCCTTTTCCAGGGGTAACTAAAGCCACCATGTTTTCATTTTTTTTTATTAAAAAAATGTGTATTTCTGCAATTTATGAATATATTTCTTTAATATATGACCACAGACCAAAGTTTTGCAATATTTATTTAACCTATAAATTAAAGGGTCTGACTTGGGCAGAAGTTTGAATTTCGAAAGTGGCTTTAGTTACCCCCATCTACGGTATAGAAAATATAAGTGATATATTTAATGTAAAAAAGACACAATACACATTCAGTATTACTTGTGATCACCATCGGTTCATAATTGGTAGCAGACGGTAGTTTCTTTAACACG